TCTTTCCTGCCTGGAGCAGGGAGTTGGACACGATGATCTACCAGGTCCCTTACAACTCTAGAAATCTATCTATGAAATCTTGATAATATAGAAAGTTCTTTTATACAGTGGTTACTAAAATTCTCATTCAGGGAAGCTGCTTGTCTTTAAGCACAACAAAAGGGGTACTTAACATGTTTTGGTGAGTGGCAGTTCAAATCAAATTTCTTACTTGCCCTAGTTAAGCTCTTTTGATGAGGAGTAACTAAAGCTGACTGACAGGATGGTGTTAATCTATTGAGATACTGCAAATAACATTGTATTTGAATTTGAACAGCTGAATGGGGAAGCCAGAATCATGTTGGTTTGTGGTGTATTACCCTACAAACTAATGAATTAGAATTGATATCAAAATTGCTGCTGTCTCATTAACTTCATCTTCCTGATTCCAAAAATTTGTAGACCCTTTACTTCAATTTTGTCACATTTTACCATAATTGATTAAAGCATGAAATGTACATTTCAGGACTTCTGAAAATTCAGCAGACAATATAATTCTAAAGCTGTGAAAAACTGTAGTTTCCTGTTAAGTGAATTAACTGGCACCCCAAAATCTAAGGACACCTACACATGCAATGGACCTCTGCTCCGAGGCATGCTAATTAGCGCACATCAGAGCAGACTTGATTAATTGAGTCTGGTAGAGTGTGCTAATTAGCATGCTCCAGCAGACTCCACATCACGTGAATTCAGCATCTCTGCATTTCAAAATGGCATAAGGAGGTGCTTTAAATAATGCTTGAACCATCCGCCCTTATTAAGTTGCCCCCCCCTGCTCCACCCTGGAGCACTTGTATAGATGCCCTAAAGTATCAGTTAAAACTACTGTGGTCTTGTGAAACATTTATAGGTAAAAAAAGGGATTAGCAAATACTATGCTATTCAATGGGTGTCTTGTACACTGGCTTAAGGCAAAGATGGAACAAAAATCACAACATGTGTGGCAATCTATATACCTCTGATTCTGACTCTTCATGTGATGCTGCTCTCCTGTAACGGACTTTACTTCCATTCCTCGAATCCTGTCCTGCTTCCTTTTCTTCAAGTTTAGCTTTTGTCTTTCCTTTCTTCATAAGAAAATTATCCACTACCCAAAACATCAATGCCTGTGATGGAGACAAGGAGAAATTCAGAATTCAGTTTTCCTCAGGTCAGTATATTTGTTAGTCACTTGTGCATGGGGACAGAATTAGAGAAAGTTACACTAAATGGAAGTCTGACATACTCTGGCACAGATCCAAAGTCACATTAGGCTAATGTATGCTCAATATCTCTTAGAATAAAGCTATTCTATTGCTTCCTCTTTCAGTGACAGGAAATAAAGAAGCAACTCTTCAGTGATTAACAATACATTTTTTTTAAACTGCCATACTGATAACCTTACTTGGTTTAGGGTAGGAGTGAAACCTATGGCCTGCAGAGCTGTGCCTTATAGCCTGTGGGGCTCATAGAGGGACCAGGAATTTGGGGGCATGGCAAGGAGGGGCAGGGCTTGCTGCTGAAATAGAGGACAGAGCTCTGAGGCATGTGTGCCAGCAGATGTGGTAGGGGGTGAACAATATGGTTCATCCCACCATGGCTGCTGCATCTGGATCCAGCCTGTGAGGAGCCCCATTGTTCAAATCCAGCCTGGGGTGCAGGGTGTGTTTGACATCCCAGGTTTAGGGTATTTCAGGGTGATGATATTTTTGTCACTAATAGTAAATGAATACTTTCTTCATATAAACTTAATTGGAACTTTATAATTTGTGTAATAATATCTGAATGCTATATTCAACACCAGGGGCAATGGTTGGACTCTATGGCCACGTCCAGACATGTGTGGACATTTGATTCCCCAGTGACAACTAGGGGCAGTGCACCGTGTGCCACTGCTAGTTGTCCCTGGGGAACGCCCATGCCATATGTGTGTGCTGGTGTGCAGCAAGTTATGCCAGTAGGGTAGGGGAGGCTGAGGCCAGCACTGGACTGGCCCCAACAGCCTTACCTGGGGTTCTGGGGGCCTCCTGGGGCTGCAGCAGCGGTGATCCTGCTGTGTGGAGCCTGGCCAGAGGCAGAGTGTGGCTCTGGCCTGCCAGACTCTGGCTTCCGTGCATGCTGCTGCCATGTGCACAAGTCTACTTTTTTCTCTGTGGGTTGATCTGACCCCTGCATATCCAGGAGTCAACCCCCCCCCATGCTGCTTCATTGCAGCACGGGGCATAATGGAACATGTGGTATGTGGCGTTGCATACATATGTTTGCTTTGCCACATGCCACACAGCTGCACTCATATGGACATGGCCTATGACTTCAAAGTAACACATCCATGATGTAATAAATTCTGGGCATCATTGCTGTGTTCTGTTATTTAGCTGACAGAGACATATAAATGCACACTTTTTTTTTAAGTCTTCAACACCTCTGTTGCTTATAATACAGCTATTACCATGGAATGCTGTGCTTTAATGATTAACATTAAATTGATGGGAACAGATGGAAAAAAATACAGGTTAACTGTCACAGAATCATGCAGTTGTACTAACATTAACAAAGAAGGGAACTATCAGCATGACGATAGCCAGCTCCAGCTGGGGGTTCTCTATAGGATTCAATAAAGCTACCTGTGGGGAAAAAAAGGATCAAATTCAGACTGTGGCAATATGTACACAGTTGGATTAGAAAGTGTAGTAATTTATGTCCTAGAGATAATATTAGGGTGATAAACTTATGAATTAGAAAGGGAAGCTTCACAGAAAAGAAATATGCTTTATTAAAGATGACTTATAAACCACTTTCAGTAAAATGAAGTTACTTGGCAGCAACTGAAGTTCTTTGAGATGTACTGTCCACATGAACATTCTCACATGTGGGAGATGCATTTCATGTCTTGTGTTTTGACTAGAGACTTTTTGGAGATTGTACTCTAGCACTGCCTTTTTTGCGCCCCCATACCAAGGGGATAAAGGGCACTGTGTGCTTTTCCTCCTGCTTGCTCTCAATCAGAGACTTATGTTATTTTTGACTGCATGGAAGGTGGGATTCAATTGTATATGTGAGCCCATATATCCTGAAGAATTTCAGTTACTGGAAAGTAACGCCACTGAATAAAGTCCACATACATATTCTCACTTGTGGGTGACTCCAGAACAGTGCTCCCACACACGGAGGTGGTTTCAGAGTCATCTAGACTGGGTAGTCATACAGCCCACAAAGGTGTGGCATCTGGCCCATTGGCCTCTTCCAGGCTGGACAGTCTCTCTCTAGATCTTGTTCATGGGACTTGTCATCATAAGTCAGCACCCAGGAAGTTAACACTGGCAGTGCCACTCCCTCCCTCCCACCTTACCCATCACTCAATATCTGTTTTGGGGTTGCTATTAGTGACTAAAATGAAGCAGCTGGTAATGAGAAAAGGGGACAGGCATGTGTAGTGGTAGCATTAGCCTCCTGGGTGCTAGCTGCATGATACAGCAGCTCTGGCAGCCCTGGCAAGAAAACCTATGGCCCATATCCAGAAGTGGGTCAGACTCTCATAACGACTCCTGAAAAGAGACAAAGATGGGGGTTGGGAGATGGGATGTGAGGGAAACTGGACAGAATCCCTTTGGCACCACAGCTCAGCAGCCTGATGTCATATTGCAGGGCTGTCCAAATTCTAAGTCTCAGCATGCCCTAAGCCAGCAACATGCCCTAGGGATTACACTAGCAGAGGCCACATGAACAATCATGCTTCCTGGTGAACATACTACACCAAGTGGACCTAGCAAAGGTAGCTTTGACAATTGGCAAGGACATCATGGACTTAGTGAATCCTTGTTTCCTTCTAGACCGCTGCTAAATGGATGGACCAGACAACACTCTGGATTTGTATTCCTTACCCAACACATCCTGTTTGCAGTTTGCAAATGAGAAAGCCAAGTTGTAAAAAGCACATCAAGACCAAACGGTTTGACCATTTTAGTAAAAGACTATTAATCAGCTAGCTTGCAGTTTCAAATAGCTAACTACAATGGCTCTTTTAATTCACAACAGCTTTCCAAAGCTGGTAGATCTGACACTGTCCCTTAGTACTGATAGAAGAACCCGACGTTCTTAATTTCAAAAGGGCAATTTCTGACCAGACAAGGTTCCTTGGGTGAATTTGATATCTTTTATTAGACCAACCCAAATGGTTGGAGAATAGTTATTAAGCAAGCTTTCGGGTTCAAAAACCCTTCGTCAGGCTCAGGAAGCTGCAGCAGTTGGTGTGTGCTCTTCCTGGATGGAATGAAAAGTAAACCAGCCAGGGGCTGGGCTGGGCGGGGGAGTCAGCTGCCAGGCAGATTATAATGTATCAAAAATCCAATGTCTATGTTTAGTCCCTGATCTCTAGTATCCAGCAGGTTGATGAAATGGAGCTCATAGGCTCGTCTCTGGGAAGTGTTGTGTAAATTACTTTCCCAGCAACACACTCCTAGCCACCATGGATGTTACCAGCCTATACACCAACATCCCACACCAGGATGGCATCCATGCCTGCCTTACATATCTACAGGAACAAGATTACAACCCAGAATACAGACCCAAAGATATCACTGAGCTTATACACTTCATCCTCACACACAACAATTTCACTTTTAATAATCAACACTTCCTCCAGATGATGGGAACAGCTATGGGCACTAAAATGGCCCCACAGTATGCCAACCTTTTTACCTTTTTTTTTTTTTTACACACCAAAAAAGCAGTGATATACAGCCAAGCCCTCAGATACCACCGCATCTGTACTGAAGAGACCACCCGGGATTGCCACCTCACCAATCTTAAAAAGGCTTTCACCCAGCAAGGACACTCCTCCAGAGAGGTAGATCGCACGTTTGAAAGAGCCACCTGGATACCATGTGAAGAACTGCTGCAGTACAGAAGAAAAACACCCACAAATCGCACACCGCTGGTTATGACCTATCACCCATCCCTTGAACCTGTACGGAAAATCCTCAAAAAATTGCAACCCATATTAGAAAAAGACCCTATTCTTAAAAAGATCTTCCCAGAGCCACCCATCCTAGCCTTCAGACAAGCACCGAACCTCGCCAACCTCATCACCAGAAGCAAACTTCCTCAAGCCCAGAACACACCAAAAGGATCCAGACCGTGCCATGACAAGAAATGCAAAACCTGCCCCCACATCTCCACCACCCCCACTATTACTACACCCCACAACAGAGCCATCAGCATCCCTGCATCTTACAGCTGCACCTCCAGGAATGTAGTATACCTCATCCAATGCACCAAATGCCCTGATGGAAGATATGTAGGAGAGACCAGACAACAACTGCGCACCAGAATGAACGCACACCGGAAATCCATCAAAGACAGAAACACCCAATTACCGGTGGGGGCACATTTCTCACAGGAGGGCCACTCTCTCTCCAATCTCTGTCCTGATCCTCAAGGGAAATTTACACAAAACATCCCAGAGACGAGCCTATGAGCTCCATTTCATCAACCTGCTGGGTACTAGAGATCAGGGACTAAACATAGACATTGGATTTTTGATACATTATAATCTGCCTGGCAACTGACTCCCCCGCCCAGCCCAGCCCCTGGCTGGTTTACTTTTCAGTCCATCCAGGAAGAGCACACACCAACTGCTGCAGCTTCCTGAGCCTGACGAAGGGTTTTTGAACCCGAAAGCTTGCTTAATAACTATTCTCCAACCATTTGGGTTGGTCTAATAAAAGATATCAAATTCACCCAAGGAACCTTGTCTGCCTATATCCTTAGACCAACACAGCTACAACCTAAACCCCTGCAATTTGTGACCAAGCATTACAGACCACTCTAGACACAGCCAACTCCACCGTCAGGTTCACTATATCAGGAGTAGTTATGTACCGATCAACATGGCTGCAGGGGTGAGGCTTCCCCAAGGAGTCAAGCTACCCTAGACTTCCCATTTGAGGGCACAGTGTTTTAGCTGCAGAACTGATGGCACCCTGCATATGCTCAAAGATTCAAGAGCTACTCTCTGATCCTTTGAGGTATTTCTTCTTCTCATACAACTGAAAGTTCAAATACACAGCATATCGAAGAGGTCCTTTCTCCCTAGTATCTGCCTCTGCTTCACTGATGCAGCCTCCACCTAGAACCAGGAAGCCTCCCAGAAAACAGCACTTTATAGACTGTGGCACTCCTAAATTGGATTTGATGGAGGTGCTCAAGAGATACAGACTTGCCAGCCATCTACTCTTCTGAGATTGCTCAACTCAGTTCTTCAGCTCCTGGTACAATGTGACAGGGCTGTCCAATTGGTGGCCTACAGGCTGCATGCAGCCAAAAGGCAGTTAATGTGGGGCCCTGGGCTTCTACCCAGTCACTTTTTCAGCAGCAATAGAAGCTGAAGTCTCTAGTTTCCTTCCTCCAGGGCTGTGGCTAGGGGAGAGGGAGGGGGTTTCTCATGCGGTACAGCAATTGGAGGACACCCATGTGTGTGAGTGCACAGTGGCTGGGGGGATTGTTCTTGCACACCTGTGCTGTGCAGTGGTTGGGGGGGGTACACAAGCATTCATGTGGCAGATCTCTTCTCTAAAGCAATCTTGCTATTCTTTTTGAGCTTGTAAAAGCCCCATTAATGCCCTTTGACAACTGGGACATAAACTGCACCAAATTTGAACAGGGGAGAGGACAGATCTGTGGTGAGGATGGAAGAATCTACTGCAATGGTCTGGGAAGAAGCAAGTGTCCCTTTGCAGAGGTCAAGAGAACCTCTGAGCAATGAGGAATGTTGTTGGGATACCATAGCCAAATTGGCCATGCTGGCATTGTCAGGCAGCTGTTGGGTCAATGTACTGGCATCCAATTTGCCATGCTGTGTGACACAAGAGGAACATGGCCTGAACCCAAGGGAGCAACCAGGTCTGGATAAGGCTATCTTCCAAACAGTACCATCTCTACCCATACCATAAAGCCTGGGATGGTTTGACCTAGGTAAATGAGAGAACTCTGTACCTGCAGCAAAGCTGAGATGGCATTGTTGCATGGCACTGATGGAACTGAGCTGGGGGGGGGAGCAGGTGTTGGCCAGTACCAAGCCAAAATTCACTCTCAGCACTCTTCCTCATATAGCAAAAGTGTTTTCCTAAGATAAGCTGTTCCAAAGTGAGAACCTTGAATCATGCAAAGTACTCCAAAAAACTGCTCCATCTCTAGCCAGGGTTTTGTGAAGAGATGAAAGTAGGAAGTGTGCACTGCCTTTTGTTTTTTCAGTGCAGAAATATGATAAGACAAATGGCTAGCGTACTCTACAGATACTGCTAAGGCAAACAGTGTCCAGTCAAAGAACAAGTGAGAATGTCTATGTGGACAATTATTCAAAGGACAAATAAGTGGGACTGACTAGACAAACTTTGTCATGTCAAGAACTTATCTTTACAGAAGTAATCTGAAGAAAAGTGATTAGTCAGAACGAGCAGATAATTCCTGAAAAGTTAACAACTTTATACTCTCAATGGAAATGTCTGAAGCCCCATCACTTGGAGACTTAAACTGGTCAAACCACTATAAAATATATTGCTACAAAAATCCTGCTTTAGTCTCCAGAGATTGTCTCTAGAACATTTATTAGTAGATACTCATCTCTAATTAATAATGCAATCAAATTCAATATTCAGTAGTTTATTTTGTACTATCTTGAGACAAAACATGTAGCACTTGTTTCACATACATACTGAAGTCTACCATCCTATGACTTCATCTATAATTATCCTTTTAAAAGTGAAAAAAGTAGAATTCCCGCTTCACACAAAATACTGTCATGAAACCATACACGTTTCCCAAATGCTGCAACTGCACGCTTCCTGCAACTGATCAGGACTCTAAAATAGATTTGGTAAAAAAGCATGGTGTATGTTCAAATATAATTTTTCTCTTTGTCACAAAGCTTTTGAGTAGACCCATCTTGGAAATCATTTCAAACACGTACTTAAGGTTTCAAACCAAATATCAGGACATAGGATACTGAGTTTTAAACGCTAAAAAACACTTTAAAAGAATTGTCAGCATGTTTGAATGACTGACCAATCCCATTATTAATGCAAGATTCATGGGGTCCCCAGAGGAATTTTAAAATTCTAATTACATTCCAGTTAAAAGCCACACTACAGCAGTGAGTTACAATACATTGCCCTGATAGTTGTGCTGCTATAGGTAATCATAGTCAGGTATATAGCATAAATTATTAAAGTTTTTTTTTGTTTTTTTTTTAAATACAGCTCCCAGTCTAGAAGCTATTTCCCAGGTCCTTGGTACATCTTACTCTTAAGACATGATTAACTGGTAGTAGTGGGACAGGTTGTCCAGAGGCACGGGGGAGAGGGGAAGGCGTAGCTTCCTGCAGCTACACCCCCGCCCGCCCCCTGGGGGAGGCATGGGGGCCACATGCCCCCCGCAGGGCAGAGGTGGGCTGCCTGCTGCAGGCTCGGGACTCTGTGCCCTGCTGCCTTTGCCCCAGGAGCTCAGCCAAGTGATGCCATTGTCACCCACTGGGCGGGCAGGAGACCCAGGGCACGCTGGCCATGTGGCACATCCCCTACCCACCCAGCGGCAGGAAGCACACTGGTGTCACACAGCTGAACTCCCGGGGTGAAGGCAGCAGGGTGCAGAGCCTTGAGCCTGTAGTTGGCAGCCCACCTCTCCCCCGTGGGGGGCATGTGCTCCCATGCCTGCCTCAGGGGTGTGTACAGCTGTGGGGAGTCATGCTTCTTGCTGTGGGGATATATGATACTTATTGCTTACTGGCTATTTTTCTAAATTCTGTAAACCAGCAATGGATTTACTAGTCCAATGCAAATTCCCAGGGCTTCACTGAGCCTTTGTACACACTACATTTTTTGCCCTTTCTTGTGCTGCAACAGTGTGACTGTTTGCACAAGCAGGTTTTCGGATGCTCTAAAAGTCTTTCTAGTGCATTGAAGTAAAACCTCAGACGTAGTTTAGTTTGGCTCGCTGAGAATTAAAGTGTCACATCCATGGATTCATTGCATGCAAACACAAAGGCACTCAAAGATGTGTAATGAGCCTCTCTGTTCACCAGATGGCATCGCAACTTTTTTGTAGTTCACCCCTTTGAATTGCTTTCACTTTTTTTTTTTCCTTGTGCTGTTTGCCAGTTCCATGCTCCCACAAGTGGATGGCAGGGCACAGGTGAGGGGCCCCAGGCCGGGGGGGGGGGGGGGGGGGGGGGGAGGGCGGGGGAGAACCTGCAGCATACTTATAGGCTCAGCAGGGGGGGGGGGGAGAAGAGGGCAGTGCTGGACTGTCCTGATCTCCTGTGGTGCTGGTTGGGGAAACGGGCTTAATTTGTTTGAAACCAAAACGTGTGCAAATACTAGTGACACGCTTCAAAGCTTAATTTGTTTGAAAACCTAGTGCATGCAAACGCTGATGTGATGCTACAAAATAAACAAATTTAAGTTTTATAAATTTATTTAATTTAATGAGCAAACCCTGTGGTGTGTACAGGTGCCCACTGAGTCTATCACTTAGAACTTGCTAGGGAGATTTTGTCAAATCCTATAGCACTTATTATTTCCTATATAACTCAGATAGGCACATGAATTTGCACTGTACCTGATGCAGTATCTACTAAAACAAATCAGACTGGGATTATTGTCACCAGTGGATGCCAGAAAGTCTGAATGGGGGTGTACTAAAGATAACAAGATGCATGACTGCTAGAGGTAACAGAGTTAACTGGCATAAAATTTATATAAATGTCTGCAGTGTAAGTCTTATACAAAACCAGTATTTTAAATATTAGCAGCCTATTGCTTTCTGGTATCCAACTGAAATTCATGAAACTGTAAAATGGCATAAAGAGTCAAACCTCTTTCCACTGAGGTATTAGGAGGACTATAATGATGATGGTTTTCTCAAACATCATGATCACTATGTATAGGGCACACTGTCCCACCCAAGCAGTGCACTGAAGTGGGTCACCTATAAAGAAAAGCAAGTATTTATTACATATATGGCCCACCATTACTTCATTTAAAACTACAGATTTAAGAAAAGCAAAAGCAGAAATAGATAAAAGCAGAATTTAGCAAATCAAAGTACATGAAATACTTGATAAAATGACTGCAATTTAAAATGTCTTCATAGGAGCAGTAACCATATAGTACTCCTTTACTTGATGTCCTTTTCCTGTGCTCCTACCCTCAATTATTGTGAGTTGTTATGCTTAACTATAGAGCTTTTAACAGGTTTAATTTAGGAACTGACCATCATTGTACCTTTTTGTTTAAGTTTGGGAGTACCTTGGTTAAACAGGTTGCTCTGTATTACTGACATTGGCAAAGAATTGTTGCATTTATTTAGATCATATTTACTGTTCCATAAAAGCTAATATTGCTATCAATTTTCTTCCTTATCTTCTGTGGCAAAATATTATATTTTAAAATAGAAACTTAAGAAAAAACGTGCCTGTTGCACTATTTGATCTAGCATATGCAATATTTTAATACAAATCAGACTATTTCTGTATTTTTACTTATATCATCCTGATAAAAATATCTCATACCAAAAAATCAGTCATTTTTAACTGATACCTGAAACAAAGACTACAGTAGATTACAAGTACATGACTAGATACCAATTTTTTTTTGTTTTTTTGGAAAGTCCTGAAAGCTAAGCAGGATCTATTTTATCTGCAGTTATCAAAATGATAGCATGCATTTATCATAAAAAATAGTTTTGCTGGGCTCCAGCTAGGCTCCAGTAAAATGCATGGTAATCAAATGAAATTAATTATTTACTGTTCTGGAATTAGACCTCTCTTACACAAATATACCAATAAAAGAAGTATGCAAATTACTGTGGCGAGCAACTGAAAATACCTGGTTGTATGCCTACAGAAGCTGAGATAAGTGGAGTGTCTGGTAAACCACTGATGTGAACTTTAAGCATCATTTAAGCAATATCACCAGGATTTGACAGTTCAGGGATGCAGTAGTAACTGAAGTTTTGCCTACCTATTTCATCTTTTGCATTCAAATAATGTTGATAAAATCTTCAAATATAGCTTAACTTTGCCCCCTGGAAGTACTCCTTTTGGGAGGGGAGGGCTGCCATCTTGGAACCAGAAAAAATGCAAATCATATACTAAAAGTCAAACACCTACTATAAACATATTTTAATTTTATTACAAAACTTTTTTGTCATGATTTGTGTTTGGATACTGTATATGATTGCATAATAACACAAAAATAAAGTCTTATTCTTGTATATTGTGTGAGGGGTATGGGGCGCGGTTGGGGGTAGGTGTATGTGTAGGGTGGGATGGGGGGCTTGTGAAGGGGTGTATATGTTGAGGGTTGGAAGAGCAGCGTGTATGTATGTGGCATTTGTGGGGTGTGAGGGAGGGTGGGGGTGTATGGGGACCCCCCACACACTCCCCTCCATTGTGCACAGCCCCTGTTGCCAGTAGCAGCAGCAGCAGTAGCAGCAGGCAGGTGCTCGTGGTCTGTGCTGGTGCTGCTGCCCAGCAGTGTGCTGCTCTGGCCAGCACAGCACCTGGTGGCAGCCAGGCCAGCCTGCCTCTATTGTGTGGGGCTCCATGCTGCTCACGTGCAGCTCCCGCACTCGTGTGCCACTGGGGGAAGCCCCATGCAATGGAGCTGGCTGCCTCTGTTGTTCCCTGCTGTGCAGGTCCAGTGACACCACTGAAAGTGGAGGGGAGCCCCGCCCTCTGCTTCCCAGCAGAGTCCAAAGAACTGCATGGCAGGGGGCGGGAAAGCAGCTGACTCCATCATGTGGGGCTTCCTCTGGTGGCATGCGAGTGCTAGGAGGTACATGCGTGTAGCACGGAGCCCCATGCGATAGAGGTGAACTGGCCTGGTTGCACTCCTTGCCACCACATGCAGTGCTGGTTGGAGCCACATGCTGCTGGGTGGCAGCACCAGCACAGGCCATGAGCACAAGCCCCCTGCTATTGCTGCTGGCAGTGGTGGTTCTGTGCCATTAGGGGGTGTGTGTGGGTGGTCCCCACATCCCTGCCCCCGACTTTCCCTCACACCCACTCCCTGCCTAGCCCAGTTCTGCAGACCTGATGCCACCCTGGGTGCCAGGTCTGCACTGCCGCCAGCCCCAGCCCCATGCTCCCAGCCAGCTGTAGCTCCCCCTTCCCCCCACTCCCACCTAGTTCCTGCAGCAAGCAGGACACCAGGGAAGCCAAGCAGGTCACCCGGTGGCTTCAGGAGTGGTAGCAGCAGTCCCACCTGAAAGCCATGTGCTGGCTGGGCTGGGCCCTTCTGCCCACAAGGGTGGGAGGTGAGGTACGTGGGCTAGGTAAGGTACAATTAATTGGTGGGCATCTGCAGGCTGGATGATAGTGCCTGGCGGACTGGATCTGGCCTGGGGGCCATATTTTGCCCACACCTGGTTTAGCTCCATCCTCTTTAGAACCACCCTTCAGATAGCTGAAAGCTGCTATTAAATCACCTCTCAGTCTTTTCTGCTCCAGGCTAAATAAGCCCAGTTCCCTCAGCTTCTCCTCGTAAGTCATGTGACCCAGTTCCCTAACCATTTTCATTGCCCTCTGCTGGACTCTTTCCACTTTGTCCACATCCTTTCTGGACTGGGGAGCCCAAAACTGGGCACAGTACTCCAGGTGTGGCCTCACCAGTGCTGAACAGGGGGGAAGAATCACTTCCCTTTTATCTACCGGCAGTGTTCCTACTAATGCAGTCCAGTATGCCATTACCCTTCTTCACAACAAGGGCACACTGTTAGCTCATATTCAGCTTATTGTCCACTATAACCCACAGGTCATTTTCTGCAGAGCTGCTGCTTAGCCAGTTGGTCCCCAGCCTGTACTGGTGCATGGGATTCTTCTGTTTTAAGTGCAGGACTTTGCACCCGTCCTTATTGAACCTCATGCGATTTCTTTTGGTCCAATCCTCCAATTTGTTCAGGTCTCTCTGAATCCTAACCCTACCCTCCAGCGTATCTACTACTCTCTGGGCCATCTGCAAACTTGCTGAGGGTGCATTCCATCTTATTTTCCCGGTCACTGATGAAGATATTGAACAAAACCAGCCCCAGGACCAGCCTCCAGGGCACTCCATTGGTACAGGCTGTCAACTAGTCAGCAAGCCATTTACTACTACCCTCTGAGCCTGATGATCCAGCCAGCTTTCTATCCACTTTACAGTCCATTCATCCAGCCCATACTTCCTCAGCTTGCTTGTAGGAATGTTGTGGGAGACCATATTGAAAGCTTTGCTAAAAATCAAGGTATATCATATCCACTGGTCTTCCCACATCCACAGAGCCAGTCATCTCATCAAAGAAGGCAATCAGGTTGGTCAAGCATAACTTGCCCCTGGTGAATCCATGCTTACTGTTTCTAATCACTGTTCACCAGGGCACCCTTGGGGAAAACCAGGAGCAAGGGCCACAAACTCCTGGAAGACCTTTTTCAGGCTTAACACTAGGAAAAACTTCTTCACAGTTAGGGTGTCCAGACTGTGGAACAGGCTCCCTCCAGAGGTGGGGCTATGGCCTCCCCTGGAAATCTTCAAGAGGAAACTGGACAGTCACCTTGCTGGGGTCACCTGACCCCAGTTGTCTTTCCTGCCTAGTGCAGGGGGGCTGGACCTGATGATCTTGCAAAGTCCCTTTCCAGCCCTTACAATTTATGAATCTATGAATAATCACCTTCTCCTCCAAGTGCTTAGAAATGGATTATTTGAGGATCTGCTCCATGATTTTTCCAGCAACTGAGGCAAGGCTGACTGGTCTATCGTTCCTTGGATCCTCCTTTCCTTTCTTAAAGATGGGCACGACGCGTCCTTTTCCAATCATCCGGAACCTCTCCTGATAGTCATGAGTTTTCTAAGATGATGGCCAGTGGCTCTGCAATCACATCAGTCAACTCCCTCAGCATCCTTCAGTGCATCGTGGTACATATCCAGCTGTTCTAAATAGTCCCCAATCTGTTCTTTTGCCACTGCTGGTTACTCATCTCCTCCCCAAACTGTGTTGCCAGGTGCAGTAGTCTGGGAGCTGACCTTGCCTGTGAACACTGTGGTGAGCACTTCAGCCTTTTCTGCATCCTCTGTCACACGGTAAAGTCTGAGTGAGGACAGGAAAGTGAAATGGTACAATGAATTTGTTTGTTTACAAATGGAACAATAAATCTGAACCTGTCTGCTGCGCTGTTTGGGACACCTGAACTCTGAACCCTTTCTCTTTAAAAGAAGAAAACACCCACTCCTTCCCAGGAGTTAACCAAGAAGAAAAAGTTCTCATAGGTGGGGGTGCTATGGATTGCTGAGGTAGCCAGAGACTGAGAAGAGCTAGGGTCTCGAAGCTAGAAGCTTGCCCCTTGTGGGCATGTACAGACAAGCCCGCACATGCCTCTTGCAGTGCCTCAAAGTAGTTTGAGATGCTGCAAGAAGCATGCTGGGAACAAAAAAAAATGTTCCTCGCATTGAGTATTTGCAGCGCAGGCTCAAAATTTGGTACCTGAAAATCCAGGTACCAACATAAAGCACAGCTGAAAAAAGTGAGGTAGGGCACTGTCCCTTACTGTGTCCTGGGGATGTCAGTCCTCCAGAGAGAGAGACTGATTTCTGGTCAGAGTGTCTCTACGGTGCTCCTGCTGCCCCGGCGCTGTCACGGGTAAGTTAGGGACATGGGAGTGGGGGGGTTTATGGGTGTGAGTGGTTGAGTTTGAAGTGGCAGGAGGATGTCAGGGAGTATGTGGAGTTGTGGGAGGGGGGTGTGCAGTCTGTGGGTGGGTTTGTGGAAGGGCTCAAGTGGGGGCCATTGCACACCTGCCCCCCATGATGCTGGTGGCAGCAGCCAGTGCAGCTGTGGTCCCCCTGTAGGCACAGCCGGTGGTGCTGCCGTGCTGTGTAACCTAGACTCTGTACATGGTGAACAGGCCCGGCAAAGCCCACACAGGATCGTAGCTCGCAGCTAGCTTGACTCTG